CCCCCCCCCCCCCCCCCCGAAACCCCAAAAGTATGTTAAAATAGGAAGCTCCAATCCGTGGACAAACGTTCCTAAGAATCAGTATAAAAGGCTTGGACGTTCTGGTGTACACATTTGACTGAAGAGAGCAGAATCGTGGAAGGAAATTGAATGCTGTTGAACCTGAATGTACTTATGTCTCTCTTGGTAGGAACCCCCCTGCATCTCAGCCAGCAACCGGTCTTCAGTGCCAGGGGTTAAGGCGTCTTGAATGGGATGCCATTGTATATCCACAGAACACGGCTTGCCTGATGCTTTGTTGAGCAACAACTGTCCGTTGCTCCTATCAAACTTGAACTAGATCCTTGTGCAAATTCCACTTCTTTTGTTTCATTGTTGCGTTCTGAATCCGCGCGTTTGTCGTCCTTGTAACTTTACCCGTCTGCAGTAGATGGTGCTCGCGCACAGTCGTGTTTTGTCACGTCAGTAAGAGATTAATCAATCTTTGGCGCAGGTAAAGGCTTGTAATAGGCCTGACATTTTTCTACAACCGGTAATCGACCCATAAAACATGTTAATATACGGACTGTAACTTCTGGCTAAATTTTAAGGTTAACTTCTACACGAAAACAGTAGAATTTCGTATGAACATTTTTCCCCGAAAGACCGTCCATTCTCAGTTGCCTCTGCAGAAACATTCGTTGGTCGAGGTGGCTTGGCCTGCTCATTGCCGTCGATTAAGGAGGTCCAACACACGAACGAGAATATAAAATGTTCATAGAAAAAAATTCCCATCGATTCTCAGTTTTACGTCCCGAAGCTGCAAACGCCAACTGATCCATGTATTGGTGGAGTCTTGTGTTTTCTTTGCGGTACGGACTGAATTCATAAATATTTAGGCGGTCTTCGGCTTCGAGGGGTTAATTCAAGAGTGTCTTATGGACACGTTCATGTGTGTCTGCCTTTCCTTCATTACGCTGTTGCCCTGATTCTTGGATATTACGGTACCGTTTGCCTTAGACACCATTGTTACAGTTGTTATTCGTTCCAGTCGTGTTTTTCCTTCGCGAGAACGTCATAATCTCCTGTCATTTGTAGCAAAATATTACTGTAATATCGTCAGACGCGGTCTAGCAAACGTAATGTAAAACATTGTTTGTTGTTCCCGCTTCAAAGTTTCGTGTCAAATGCAGAAACAAAATGGAGAAGGGCGAGTATTGCTTTCATGTCAGAGATTTTATCGTTTTACGTTTAATTCCGTGACAGGCACTGGATTCAACTCGTTATCAAGATGATATATATTTATTTCAGAATCGCTCTCGTGTGCTTCGAATTCTAATAATATTAGGTTGTTATTCAAGGTCATTTTCTTACAGAGCTTTCTATAATTCAGGCTTGCGATGCTAATAACACGGCCTTGTACAAAGTGTCGGATCGCGTGCAGTGGTGGATTTTTATACTCGTTACGGAAATACAAATTTCGTTCGTGACTGGAGATGGTTGAACACTTTTTTTCTTATAATCCACCGATACACAAATTTTCTGGAGCTGTAGCAATTGGAGGGGTGTTTTAAAGAACTCGCAACGTCGTCATACCGTGTTCACGACGTTGCGTTCAATCAGCCGAGGCAGAACATTCTTGTGTCCTGGATGCTGCATTTACAGAACTGGTAATTCTGCTCAAGCGACAACGTTTTGAAGCAGGACCAGTACGAAGAAGTTACTTCTCTCCTGGTGGCGGGGTGTTGTGGTCACGACAAAGAACCCAGCGGATTTCTTGAGTATCTGAGCGACTGTTGGCTTCCATGGTATTAATTATTATTTAATAAATTAAATCCGGCGGTAACATCTTGGCATGCCCAAGCGAACTCCTGACATGGCAAAAACGCAACATATCGTATAACGATGGCTTCATACGCGGCGATGAATGCTAATATGTGCCTGCGTTGAACGGAAATGTCTGTAATGGAAGATGTTAAGGGATATTCCCGTCTCGTAATAATCAGATTTTACTGAATAATAGCAATACCATTTACGAAATCTGTTATTATTTTTATTTATATTCAGTTTCCTATGTAAACTTACTCTCATAAGCAAATACCTTCCAAGGAAATACGTTTTTAATCCTTTCAATCCAAAGAGAGTTTAAAAATTATTTAAGAACTCAGTCCGTACCGCAAAGAAAACAAAGACTTCACCAATACAAGGATCAGATGGTTAGTGATGTGTAAGGAAATAGTCGCTGTTTCCAATTAGAATCACACGACACCCATAAACACAAATTGGAGAATTTCTGATTCTTAAAACACTTTTAAAGGGTTAATAGTCAAACGCCTCACATATCACGACGTAAAGAAAGCAGATAAATGTCTGGTCCTGGCTCCAGCACGCAGTGCAGTCTGGAAGACTTTTATTTTGAAGCGGGCTCTTCACCTGCTGGCCTCTCTCAGGGGTTATTTAGTCAGCCATGATTGACGGCGGAACACAAAGGGAAATGACAGGTGTGTGGGTCAACCCCAAACACCTGTCGAATGTATTCCCGCCCCGAGCAGCTGCTCCAACTATTACGAACAAAAATTTCCCTCCGTCCTTAAAATAATTATAAATGTCTCTTTTGAAATCGGTGAACAAAAGACAGTTGTGAATATTTAAATGCATAAACTGAGAAATCTGATTGGTTTTGTTTAAGAGTGGGATAACGGAGAACCGACGAAATTGAAAATCCCCCCCCCCCAAAAAAAATCTGTTCGCACAGAAGCAACGAAGAGTAGAGAAAGGAAACAATGACAAATGAAAGATTAAAAACGAAATGAGAGACTTGAAAGAACGTATTTAAATTACCTGTTCCCTTTTTTTAAATTAGATTAGCTTATATGATTTTTTAATCTCTACTAGTTGAGAAATTTCCCCTTGTTCTGGACAGCGAAGTAAGAGACAGGTTTGGAAGGAATAAGTTACTAATGAATGTATAAATAAAGAAAGGATATTAATAATGGACGAGGGGGAAAAAAAACAGACAGAATTTAAATGTACAGCTTTTCGTGCGTGGGGCTTGTCACTTAACCCTCGGCAAGGACAGAAATTTCCCTCGTCCTGTACATCTGTGCAGAGAATGCAAGATTCCGAAGGCCGGCCCAGCGCCTGCCAGCAGATTCCTGAACGCTTGGTCATCGCTTGAAACTACCTTCAGCTTCGTCGTCTGCTTTCGGGACTTCACGAGCACTTCCGAACAGCAGACTCTAAATTTAGAGGCTCATTCCAAGCGGTCTGCATATAAACTGCAGGCTTCGTACAATACACCAAGTTAGGAGTTTAAAATCCCTCTAAGTGTTGTTTTAATTAAGGAAAAAAGGCTGTTGAAACTTCCGTTTGAACTCCCTATACCCTTCCGTGACGAAATTACAACCCAGTCATTCAAACGTACGATTTCGCTTCTAGTGTCCTGTTTCTGTCAGTATGACAAGGCAGGTTGCTGGCTGGACGACCACGGTTCAAATCCCAGCGGGGCATTTTTACTTTTCGCCCACGCAGTCTCCTTTCCTCGTGGGGTAAAGCGGCCGGAGCGTGAGGATGACCACCCACCTCCCACTGTCGAGGTTAAGAATGCGTGGAGCTGTACGGCCACTCCTCCATACGTCTCCATGGCGCACTGCGTTATTTTACGTCAGGTACCTTGATGTTAATGCAACCATCACGAGGCTAACAGAAACACCGGAATAGCCTAGTTATTTCATCTGTTAAAGAAGACTCGTTCTTACTAAAATCTTTCTGAGATCAGATTTGATCTGTCTTACTGTTCCTGCGTCTTTGTTATGATCCACGAACTATATCATTGGCAGCGTACAACGCAGTAAACTTGGCGAGGTCTACTGTCACATCGCGCGACTGTACGACAGGTACGATGACGTCATACTTCCCGCATTTCCCTTCCCTAATTAGCAGCTGACACCGCTGCCTCATCACGATATTTCCAGCAGACTTTCTCCTGTTGTTGCCTAGACAACAGACGCCGTCCTTCGCCGCCGAAACGACCGTCGTCAGATTCGGCCTTTTCGTGTGGAGGGCCTTAAACGCGGGACTGTCCAAACATGGAACGAACATAACAAATACTCAACCCTTTAAAACACGCTTAAGAACCTATAACTCTGCGCTGAATTGTGCCAACAGCGTGTTTATGCGTTTCTTATGATTCTCAGAATGAACAGCGATCATTGCCCTAAACAGCGTTAACCAGCGTTGTGTTTTCTTTCAGGTACGCACTGAATCTTTTTTGTAAATGAGCTTCAACGCCGTTACTCGGTCTCAGTGGGCGGAGTCCTTTTTGATAAAACTAAAATTCACTCGGCTGTCCAATAAATTCCCCGCCTCTTACGCGACCGAAATGTTCATCACCGTGTCCAGAACAATCCGCCACTGGTCCTTTTCCTAAGCCAATCGAAAGCAATTCTTCCACTCACGCATTTTAATATTATTTACTCCGCGAAGTGTTCCTCTCCCTTAATATTTGCGTTATGGTTACAGGACGTATGTATTTGATAAGGTGTCGTCAAACTACGAAGCAGTCACGGCAAGTGGCTGAATACCCTATAAAGTTACGAGCTCCGAATCTTCGAACAGAAGAGCGTGTACACCCTGTTTCGTAAATAATTAGATCGTAAAATGTTTACCTGAAGTTACATACGAGTCATTTGAGATATTCTAATTACTTGCCATCCAGAAAACGTGTACATGGTCCAGATATTTAGAGCATGGTGGGACACATTCCCTGTGCTTAATTAAACACCACTCAATCAAGACTTCTAGGGAGTGGAGGTGTTCTTAACTTAGGCATTAGATGGATTGTCTGTTCTGCCGACCGAGTTCCGGGTACCCATTCAGTAGAAGGCAGAATGGACCCGGGCGATGAGATGGGGTCCCTCTCGTCCGCGTGTTTGTGGTCCTTCGACGTATTCGTGTCCTCAATGTAATTTAGTGAGTTTCTAGCAACAACTCGTTTATGAGTGTTACTGTTATCCACACATTGAAAGTTCCTTTTTGTAAAGAATAACGTTACGGTTCCGTTCGACAGTGCAGGTGACTGACGGACGGACAATAAAGAAGAATACGGTACAGAGATTAACAGGACGAAACGAGACAGAAGGTCGAAAAACTAACCGGAATGCACAATCTCCACATGCAAATCATGGATTACAAATACGCGGCCCAACGTACCACAAACCTGTCCCTGCCTTGTCTTAACAACCACTGCCTGAGCTTGTCTCTCCGACCAGCCTTTCTTAACCTAACCTAACCTAACCTAACCTACTTCACAAAATGGCGTCTTCCCTAAGACCAAAGGGCTTAGTGATATTTCTTTAGTATTCTGACAGCGACTATCCCAGCCTTCATTATAGAGGATCCCCCCCTTGACCGCTGTCAAGGAATACGTCAGCGCTGAAAGGAAGACGTCGAGGACCGAAGTCTGTGGTCAGAAATGACTGCATCGGTTGTCATTTTGTAGACGAGCGTCGTCTAATAATCAACTGAATTGAATGTGCCCTTCACCGACCTTATTTAAAGCAAATATGGGTTCGTGGCGACAGAATATGTTATGTGAACAAGTGTTTGTTCAGTAGGTTGTACGTCGCTTGTCGGTACAACGTAGTTTTCTTTTTCAATGTCAACACATCCTGAATTATACATGCCCCAGTTACGTAAGCCACTGTCTGGTGGTGGTGGGGGGCTCTTCGTAGCAGGGCAGAAATTAAGACATCTGTTGCTAAGAAGCAGTGGTTTTATGTCGTTTAATCCAGCGTGGGATGAGTTTCGTTCTTCGCCCGCAGTTGACAGAAAGTTCATTGCAGTTTATTCACATTTTGCTCGCTAACTTTGACATAACCAGGCACAATGTTTCACATGCTCTTCCTTGGTTCGTACGCATTCCTCCCAAGTTCTTACCAGCGCGTAACGCACGTCCCGGTTCAAGATCTGACATTCTTCATCGAGCTGGACAGTTGATGACAGTGACAGTTACTGCCACATACTGACAGTATTAACGAGATTTCTTTTCTGATATCAGATAACTATTTTGCCATACGGAGTGACACGATACTTAGTGGTCATCTGGGTTGTGATGCCGCGGTTACCAACGCCTTGGAAAATCGTATCGCCTCCATCTTCAGGGTGTATTACTCAAACCGCGTGCAGCTCGTAAAAGAGGCCTTTAGGGACCTCAGATCATAAAAAAAAACGTGGCCTCAAACAGCACGCCTAAGTTGCGTAAAAATCGGTCGATTGAAGAGTTTCGCAGTTCCGCCTGATAACACCACCTTGGGACTGTCAACTGTGCGGTCACGTGACGGCCGCAAAGTGGAGCCGAGTGGTAACCCCCCCCCCCCCCCCGGGGGGGGGTAGAAGAACCTTGATAGCCAATTTTGGTGGCTCAAACCAGGCCAAGACCGCTCTCCGTTTGCTCCCCACCTTCGTGCGTCATGACTTCGTGCTCCCACAGTTAATCTAGGGTCGTTAAACGACTGATGAAACAAGTCGGTCTAAAACTTCATGTAAAAATTAACCAGTTGAAACAGAAGCTTACCCAACCGTTTAAATACTCGGTCCGTACCGCAAAGGAAACGCAACGCGTCTGGATGACAGCGGCCGATCGGAAATATTCCACAGTCCGGAAACTGGTCGTGTTGGCAAGGAGGAAAATACTTCCCTTGCCGAGAATCGAACCAATAGTCTGCGGATCAGACTAATCCTTGAGAAAATGACAGTCGCCCTAGGAAGGGCCATTCGGCCCTTGTTGAATCCAGCCCACAATCCGACCCCTGTGTCTTTATATTCGTGGTTTATTGAATGACACCGTAGCTTCGGATTATAAGACAGTACGAAGTAGATTCTGATGTTGCGGGTTGGGGGGACTGAGGGGAAAAACAATGTAAGGTTAAGCAATGTCCAAGCCAAGATGCGAACCGGAGACCTCGGAAAACGAAGCATCCATCGATCGATTTTAATAATTTCGATTATTTTACGATCCATCGATCGATTTTAATAATTTCGATTATTTTACGATCCATCGATCGATTTTAATAATATCGACTATTTTACGATCCATCGATCGATTTTAATAATTTCGATTATTTTACGATCCATCGATCGATTTTAATAATTTCGATTATTTTACGATCCATCGATCGATTTTAATAATATCGACTATTTTACGACCCATCGATCGATTTTAATAATAGACCTTTATGCCACATTTTGTACATTCCTCGTCTCTCCCTCGATTTGATCAAAAAAGTTCATTATTATTGCCGGTGTCTTGTGTGCGCTGCCAAATAATGTGTGCGCCTGTGCGTGCGTGTTCTTGTTGCAGAGGCCGCGGGCCCAGATATAGGCCTTGACGTCACCATGTCTGTATGCTGCGAGCTGGGCTCTGGTCGTCCGCGGGACGGGCTCAAACTCGCTCTGAACAGAAGTCTGAGCGAACCGGGGCCTCCGGACCTACAGTCGCCCAGCAACGGTTTCCTGGTGCCTCCGAAACGCTGCAAACTGGAGTCGGTCAGCCTCCCCGCCTCCCCCTGCTCCGAAAGTGCCACCCTACAACGCTCCCTCGTGATGAAGAAAGTTAAATCCCTGGACCCCGACAGCCTCGTGAGGAAGCTACAGCGGTCTGCCCCCGGGTGCAGCGGCAAGTCCCCCGGAAACAGAAACTTCTTGGTCGTAGACTGCCGCCCGTTTATCGCGTACAACGTGAACCATATCAGAGGGTCCATTAACGTGAACTGTTCCGACAGATTCAACAGAAAGAGACTTCAGCAGGGCAAGGCAACCCTGGCGGACCTGGCGACCACGAGGGAGGGAAAGGACCTGCTGAAGAAGAGGACCTTCAAGGAAGTTGTCGTCTACGATGACTGCACGACGGATTTTGATCGCCTTCCTACGTCACACCCGCTCTTTCTCGTGCTGACCACTCTGGTGGAGGACAACAGGGACCCGGCCTTCCTGCTCGGTAAGTTCCTGCTTGGAAACTTGGCTCCTTCTGTTATCAGTAAACCCTGGTTTTTCCTCGTAATTATTCCATGCGGCCAGAGTGAAAATTTATCAGCATTTGTCAAGTGGATATTCGCAGACTGGTAATTAAAGAATGCTATGATTCTGCAAGAGTGGACCGTCGTGTTAATTGTTATATGCGGAGGTATATAATGACGGGGCAGTTGGCTACTGTTGCCAAGGAATTGTATTAGCTACGAATAGATTCTAGACTGCGGATGCAAATCCATGTTTGTGTGATCCAACAATCATACGAGGTCTATTATATCGCAGCTTTACATAAGACGATAATGGTGGCTTTTACTGAAGTTTCATGTGACGATTTCTTGTTAACGTTAACAGGCGTAGTTCGTGTCCGAGATTAAATTGTACTGATGTTTGCCAAGAAACAAACATATCTGTCAGAGTTAGCAAGAAATCATATTATTCCGATGATACCCTAGTGGCAACTGCCACCCGATTTAACAACGAATCATTTATGTTTCTGTGAGTTTCGTATATGATTCCCAGAATAAACTACGATTATTTATTAAAACAGCGTTAACCAGTTGATCTATGTAATGGTGAAGAGTCGTGTTTTCTTCGCGGTACGGGCTGATTTCTTAAGTATTCGGCGTTGTTCAAGTGTATTTGCTTAGCCCGAGGAATCGAGGATGCATTGGCAGCGGATGGATACAGAAGGGCAGCGATTAGAGCGATTGGGAGTCGGTTAACGTCAGTGATACCAAACTGATAAATACAGATATGCTAGTTTATGAGATATCAATCAGGTGTTTGCTGTTTTTCTAATATTCACGAACGGTGTAAACAAGCCTCTCATTGCACATTTCGTGTGTAATTACCTAAACCGATTAACGGAACCGGAAGATGGGAAAAAGAAACACTTTTGGTTCTTGAAAGAGGTTTGTTTCGATATTTCATATTATTTCAGTGCATTAAAACTTGTACTGTAAACCGGTGGTCCTAACTCGAGGTTCGCGGGCCGAAGGTGGCCTGCCATTGCCCAATACGCGCCTAATATTTTCGTTCTCACTTTGTTTCCGAACAGTTTCATTATCTGTGTTCTTATGCAAGTTACGTAACGTGTGCAGAGCACTTAGTTCGTATACGACCTATAAAGCGAAATCCGCTCAATTGACGTCATGTGCCACGATAAGATTGTCAAGGACTTGGTAAAAACTTGTTTTTGGCTTTTCATTAAGATTTCATTTTGACGTCCTCTGTTGCATAAATCATGATTCTGGCCCACGTCTTTGTATTACTATGTAAATCAGTGGAATGGAACATAAAGCAGTGTCTTATGTAGTGGGTCACGTTATAATGTAACAGCAGATTTTCTTATATTCACTCATCCCAGCTTAATTTCGAGTCATTGTGCTCTTCTGTTCCGAGAACAATCATCTCTCCGGTCTGCCCTGATAATAGTAATAATCCTCTTATATTTTAGACAAAATCATCTCTCAACGGGTAGTTTCCTAGATATGATTTAATGACTAAAATTTCTTGGATTTCAAATTAGCCCTGTGAACACTCGTTTTAAAAAATGAGCTTCGAGTGACCTTAAAAACATTAGAGCCCTCTACGGAAAACACCGGGACTTATATTTTTGTTTCTCTGACATGTCTGCGTCCTCAGAGATACGCGGGTATTGTCACAAGATTACAAAAGGTTCGGCAGAATTAAGTGTGAGAAAAATTCGTCTTAAAATGTCCTTGAAATTTTTTAAAGTCTTCATTCAGCAATTCCTATTGTTGATATTGTCGTGAACTTGACAGACATTGTTAGATACGTGATTTCAACTCACCAATCCAATTCGGCGTTGTTCAAGTGTATTTGCTTAGCCCGAGGAATCGAGGATGCATTGGCAGCGGATGGATACAGAAGGGCAGCGATTAGAGCGATTGGGAGTCGGTTAACGTCAGTGATACCAAACTGATAAATACAGATATGCTAGTTTATGAGATATCAATCAGGTGTTTGCTGTTTTTCTAATATTCACGAACGGTGTAAACAAGCCTCTCATTGCACATTTCGTGTGTAATTACCTAAACCGATTAACGGAACCGGAAGATGGGAAAAAGAAACACTTTTGGTTCTTGAAAGAGGTTTGTTTCGATATTTCATATTATTTCAGTGCATTAAAACTTGTACTGTAAACCGGTGGTCCTAACTCGAGGTTCGCGGGCCGAAGGTGGCCTGCCATTGCCCAATACGCGCCTAATATTTTCGTTCTCACTTTGTTTCCGAACAGTTTCATTATCTGTGTTCTTATGCAAGTTACGTAACGTGTGCAGAGCACTTAGTTCGTATACGACCTATAAAGCGAAATCCGCTCAATTGACGTCATGTGCCACGATAAGATTGTCAAGGACTTGGTAAAAACTTGTTTTTGGCTTTTCATTAAGATTTCATTTTGACGTCCTCTGTTGCATAAATCATGATTCTGGCCCACGTCTTTGTATTACTATGTAAATCAGTGGAATGGAACATAAAGCAGTGTCTTATGTAGTGGGTCACGTTATAATGTAACAGCAGATTTTCTTATATTCACTCATCCCAGCTTAATTTCGAGTCATTGTGCTCTTCTGTTCCGAGAACAATCATCTCTCCGGTCTGCCCTGATAATAGTAATAATCCTCTTATATTTTAGACAAAATCATCTCTCAACGGGTAGTTTCCTAGATATGATTTAATGACTAAAATTTCTTGGATTTCAAATTAGCCCTGTGAACACTCGTTTTAAAAAATGAGCTTCGAGTGACCTTAAAAACATTAGAGCCCTCTACGGAAAACACCGGGACTTATATTTTTGTTTCTCTGACATGTCTGCGTCCTCAGAGATACGCGGGTATTGTCACAAGATTACAAAAGGTTCGGCAGAATTAAGTGTGAGAAAAATTCGTCTTAAAATGTCCTTGAAATTTTTTAAAGTCTTCATTCAGCAATTCCTATTGTTGATATTGTCGTGAACTTGACAGACATTGTTAGATACGTGATTTCAACTCACCAATCCAATCTACTATAAAAA